ATATTATGTATTAAAAATCAAATATATATACGTTTCTTTTTAATAATAAAGTTGTAATAGAATTTAATATTTTAAATTAATATAAAAATATTTATAGTTTTCAATTTTAATTTATCCTTTATAGAGAACGAAAAAAATAAATAATATAAAAAATAGTCCCAAATAAAATAACAAGAGAAACTATACTTTGTGGATATTTATTTTGGGACTGTATTATATGAAGGTATTATTGTAGGAGCATTTAGAATAATTGCAGTGAGATTACTTATATTTGTTTTATCACTATTATTATATTAAGGTATATTTGTTTATATATTTCTATGTTGCATCATAGAAAAGTTATGCAGGTAATTTATTAGATTCCTGTTTGGTGACATTGCTAGAACAAAGAACAAATAAATTAATAAATAACATGTAATGTTTCCTCTACTTATTTAATGAATTTATGTATAATTTTAAATTTTATTAAAAACTAAACTATATTATATATATTCTGCAGCGTTGAGCATTCTTTTTTTTCAAGAGGAACTTATTCAATAAAATAAAAATCCTTATTTTAATTAAAAATATAAATCTTCTTTAATTATTGATTCTATGTGCATATATTTTATTTGTAATGTTATGTTTAATATGTAGCAATTCAAATTAATTGCTCAAAAATTAATAAACATAAGTAATTAATGAAATACGAATTAATTTACGTAAGCATTATAAACATGAAAATTTTATTATCATTTATATAAAATTTTTTCATTAAATTCAAAACAAAAATTTGCTAAATAGAAACTCTTTTGTCAATAAATCACTTTTTATATTTTTCAAACATTATTTTTTCTACCATTCAATTTTTATTTTTTTTTTATCTAGCACTTGTATGGCTAACTGTATATTTTTCGTATGGCTAGTTATATTCATTCTCAAAAAGGTTAATAATTCCTTTTGTTAATCAGTGAGTTGGTATAAATAATAGTCATTAAAGTGTTCGATATTATTTAACTGTTATTATTAAATACAAATATAGTATTACTAATTGTAGAAAAATATTAAATTTTTGATAAAGTAGATGTAGTTGATGAATTAAAAATGGCTAAATGAAGTAAATGGAGTATATAATGATGAAATAGGAGTAAATATAGTGGATAAAATATCTGGAATTATTATAGTGAAAAATTTTAATAAGAATCAACCTTTTTTTACTTCTCAGCATTTGTTTTAAAAGAACTCTATATTTATAAAATTTGGAATCTCTTACTGTCTATGTCTTTTTACTAATAAAACTTGTTTTTTCTCTTTATTCCAAATATCAAATTCAATAGTACTACCCAAGTCTATGTGAAATTTTATACATGAGTTTCTCTTTCCAAAATAAGTTTATTAATTCAACTTCTTATATCATTCGTTTCTAGATACATTGATTCTACAATAATACAATTTTTAATATTTTTATGTGGGTTTTTAGTATTTCATATCTTCATATTCTCAATAATAGGGTCATGGGTTATATCTATATGTTTAATAAGATTTTGAAAATAAAATTTCCTCTAAAAATACCATATATAGAAATTTTTACAATAAGTGCTATTATTTATTATTTTAGAAAATTGTCTATTTCTTTTTTCTACTAAAATTAGAATTCCATATCATTACTCGAGAATTTTTCTTATCATTAATACTTTAAAAATAATTTTTACTTATAGTAATCAAGTCTTTCATTGCCTGCAATTTTATATTATCTCCAACTAAAGTGAAATTATTTCCAAATAGGGTATTATGATCTAAAACTATTAGAATCCGCCTTTTACAACTAATAGGATTAATGAAATTTTTTCAACTCTCATCATTGTCTTTACTTTTTTATTCATTGAAAAGGATATTCTTTTTTTCATTGAAATCTTTCACACACTTATCTGTTAAATGAGTATATCTCTTATATCTTATTTTTTTTTTTACTCCTACTGTTCTTTCTTTTCTATCTCTTATTGTTTCTAACTTTTTGTAAATGTTCATTCAATGTTATTTTAGTCTTCCATAAAGTTTATAATATTATTTTTTTATTTTTAGTTTAAATAAATAATTTAAAAAAAAAATATATATATGTATAATATTTTCTACTTATAAATTTTATATATTCTAATAAAAACTCAATTATTTTAAAGTGAAAATAATAAATATAATTAGGTAAATAACAATATAAATTAATGTTTTAATTTATAAGTAAAATTTAATAAATGAAGAGAAAGCTCATATAATAACGTTCTAATTATATATTGTATTTTCTCATTTTAATTATTATTTTGAACCTGTATTTTTTTTATACTGAAATTACAATTTATTTTATTTATTCAACTTTTTTATTAAATAAATATAAATTAATTTATTAATAATCTTCTTGAAAAAATTTACACAAGATCAATAAACAACATTGTTGATTAGTCTTCATATTTTAATATGATTTTATATATCAGAATTAAATGTTGTTATATTCATAGTTTATTTTTAGAAAAAATTTATATTTCTTTCATGCAAATATCAAGAAATGCATGCATTGAAAGGATAAAAAAGATATCTATTAATTTTTTCATTAACAAATTTATACACATTTCTCTTAATTTTTTTCAATTACATCTACAAAAATAAATATTAATTTAAAAAAAAATATATTTTATTTTAATTCTTTTTATTAATGATTTTATGATAAACATAAATTGTATGAAAAATTCAATGTTATAAAAAAAAATAGATATAATAGTTATAATAAATGTAATAATTTAACTTTTAAAAGTACTATATTTAATAGGGATAACAATTATAACTATAAATGAAAAATAAATTTTAATATAGGTTTTACATAGAATCATAATAAGTTTATCTTCATTTTTATAGTAGTTAAACTTAAATGTAAATAATATATTTTATTTTTGCTATTTTAATAATAGATAAATAAAATAAACTAATTTAAAATAAATAAATTGTTTATTAAAACATTTATAATACATTAAATAAAAACATATTAGCTCAATATTTTTATTATTTTTAATATATTAATTATTTTATAAGAGGTATCAATCAAATTTAATAATGAATTATTCATATTTTTGATAAAACCTAATTATTAATTTAAAATTCATTAGTTATATATATGATAATTTCATTTCTACTAATTTATCACTTTTTATAAAAACTGTTATCACTCCAAAAAAAAATAATAATTTATCAAAAATAAACAGTTCGTTTTCTTGAAAATCAAGTGTTATAACAATTAAGAAATTATATGAAATATTATCAATAACAAGTATAATTATAGAAAAAAAGTTAAAATTTATTTATTTATGTAATAACATTTTCAAATATAATGTTAAGGTATTCTATTAAATAGTTAGCCTTTGATGTTAACCCTCTGTTTTGCACTGAATTATGAATTAAATTATTTTAAAGAGTAATTCGTTTCAATAATTATTTTTCAAAATATGTAATTTAAAAAAAATAATATATATTTTTTCTTTAATTCAAATAAAATCATTAAAAAAAAATTTTTCTTTTAAAGAAATAAATTTAATTAGTTACATGCATTCCAGTAAACAGTTTGCATATTATTTTGACTATAATTATTCTATTTTTCATATAAAATTTATGTGTATATATATATATATATATATATATATATATATATATATATATATATATATATATATATATATAACGTGTTACATTCCATTTTATTAATAAGAATTAATTAATAACTAAGTTCATAATATTTAAGTTTATTCATAATGTGTAAAACATATAAATTATCAAGCCACATATAATTAATAAATCACATGCATCTTTAATTTTATTTCATTGTATTTCTAAGATTTACATTTAATGTCCAAAAAGTTTAAGTAAAAAATAAAATATATATAAATTTCATTTAGTTTCGTTACATAATAATTGTAACTTAATTCATAAATATATATGTGCCATATAATTATTCATCTTTTTTCTTAATATATATTTTTTTATAATAAAAAATGTGGATATGTATACAAATTCTGTTTTATTTTTAAATTTGCTTTTTTATTTACGAAAATTTAACTAATATATAAATTCATCATTTAATTAAAATGCATTCAATGCCTTTTATATAGTTATTACAATACAGTTATTTCAGCTTGTATTATGTACATTTGTGTATTATGTATTTATATCACTATAGTGCATTTTGTTTTTTTCTTAGATATTCTATTTATTATTATAAAATGATGTAAACAATGTTGCATGTGGACTTTTTAATTTCTGTTACTTCATTAACTTAAACAATTTATTATGACATAATATTATTTTAACATCATCAATTACATATAGATACTAGTACAAAATTACCATGAAATATATAATTCTTTTTTATAATTTTATTTTCTCTATCATAATTAATATTGCATAATAGTAATTTTATATTAAAATTTTACAATTAATTACATCTTAGAATTATTCATAATTCTATATTCTTGAAAATTCATAAAAGAATCATTCATTCTGTTAAATATATTTAAAAAAATTATCTTTTTCTTAATTCATTAAAGTAAAAATTACCTCTTTATTAAAAACATTTTTAAATGAGAACATTATTATCTACTAATTTTATAATAAAAAAAAAAAAATTTTAAATTTTAATTATTTTTACTTTTAATGATAGACGAGATCATTAACTTTACCTAAAAATTTTTAATTTGTAAATTAAAATTTTTTTATATAAAATATTCTTTTAAAATAAGAAAGCAATATAATTAAATGTGAATACATAAACAAAATATTAGGATATAAAATTTTAATTAAAGTTATTTATAAATATTTTAGATTTTTTTATTAATGATATTTTTTCTAAAAAATAAAATTAAATAAATAAATAATATTCAGAATTTAAAAACATAAATCTTATACAAAAAAAATATTAAGGAAATAATTAAAAAAACTATAAATAATAAGAAGTAAAATATTTACACTTTATATGATTTTTAAAAATGGCACTTCTATATAATGAGGGATGTCCAAATTCTGAAGAAGACTTTACCAAATGCAATATGCTTGCATGTATAATACGTGGGGGTAAGTTCAGAACCCATCATTGCGATCCTGCATTTAAATCAGTTAACGTAAAATATCCTTCTAGAAATATTTCAAATAATCCTGCAAAAAATATATTTACATTTGAGCATTCGACACCACCTAATAGTTTTCAATCTAAAGTAACTCTTCTTTCAAATAATGATGGTGAAATTGTGTTTCTATATGAAAAATATATGCAAGAATTTAGCTATTCATCTGAAGTATTTTTATGCCGTTTTCGAGATAAAGACCAAAAATTAATATTTTGTGAAATAGTTGACAAAATTTATTTGGGAAAAACTCTTTCTTTTAATTCTATTGATATTATCGATAAAAAAGGAAGAGAAAATTATAGAATTAGACTAAAAAATTTAAAGAATCCCAGACACATAAGTCGTATATTAAAATATGATGATATATATTTTAGTAGGGATGCTTGTCATTATGTAGAAGAAGGATATTCTCATGAAAATATTTGCAGATATTCCATATGTAGAAAGGATCAAAATGATCATACATCATGCGTGGATGCTAAATTTAATGGAAAATTGTTTCATTTACAGAAACATTCGCAACGTCATGAAGGAAAGGAAAAATTTATATATCTCCCAAAAAATTGCCTAAATGATGGTTTGAAAATCGATTGTACTCCTTATTTATGCGAATATGAGAGGCCACATGAATTAACGCCATGCAAAAAGTTAGATATTAGTATTGTGAAGAATATAATACCACATTCAGAAAGTTCGGAAGTGAAACTCACAAGAACTAAAAATTTAGTTCATGAAAACAATTTAAACATGTATTCTCTTGTTGCAATGTCTTTTATTCCTTTCTTAATTATATTCTTTTTCATAGGATGCTATATGTATAAAACCATTAAGAAGAATAAATCAAGAGTAAGCTAATTATAAAATTTTGAAATACATTAATCTTATTATGTATATATACACATATACATTTTTTTATTTTCCATTTTTTTTTTTTTTGTATTTTGTTAATTTAATAAAAGAAAAAATACAAAAAAAATATATAAGTTCATATCATGTTTATTAAATAAATTCTATACGTTTTTTTTTTTAGAAAATAAAGATGAGCTCTAAAGAACCATAATTGTTGCTTTATTAAAAAATCAAGTATTTTAGCTAAAGAATATATGTAAAGAATAAGAAGAAACTTTTATTTTTCCATTTTTTTCCCTCACTAGAGTTTTTGTGTTTAATCCCAAGTTATTATTTTAGTAACGTATTGATTAATTTTATAATGATTTCAAAAATTATTTTTAATTATCTTTAAATAAACTAAATTACAAGTAAATTAACATATAGAATTAACACAATATAAATATTTCATTTTGCATAACATTTTTAAGTCTTTAAAAAAAATAATTTTATTCAATTATTTTTTCTATTCATAATCTATGAACATAATCCATATATTTAAAGCTGTTAATGTTTCTTTTATTTTTTTTAAATTTCACACAAAAGTAAAACATTTTCCTATAAATTATAAAAAGTAATTTTTAATTTAAGTTGTTTCATTTTTTTCCTAGAAAAATCTAGAAAAAAAAATTTTCTAAACAAAGTATCTACTCTTAAGGAAATATATATTTATTTACATTTAAAGTAAAAGTTTATAAAAAAGAAATTTTTTTTTTGTAGGGTTACTAGTTTGACTTTAAAATTACCTTTAATAATTAGTTTATCTATTTGATAATGTTAATTATGCTCTACACATGAATCTAATATGTATGCAAGAAGAATTAAAACCTATTTTATTTTGAATATACAAATAATAAAAATTATATACATGTATATTATTAAATAGAATTTTATTAGATAATATTTATTTTTATCCTCAAATATATTTAACGGTAATTTAAAACTGTGAATATTTGAATAAATAAAAAATTTCTATTCGAATATATTTTATATTGAGCATTAATACACTAATTAATATTGAAAAGTTTCTAATAACTCAACTGAAACTTATTTAGAAAATTAATGCATTCATAAATTATTATCAATTTTTTCTTTAACTTCCTCATAAATGAGTACTAAATAAAATTTAATTCTTTTTTTTAATAAATGGCTAATAAAATATATATTAAATTGTCTTTGTACTAATCAGGTAAATATAAACATTGTTTCCTGAATTCCTGATTAAAAATCATACAAACTAAAATAATGTAAATAAACAAAGAAAAATTACATGCAATTCTAAGAATTCTATATTTATTAAAGCAAAATTAAAATAAACATGTTTTTGTTCTAATATGTATATATAAATATATAACCTTTAATTTTTTGTTATTTGTTATGTTCATTAATATTTATTTTATTAAAAATAATAAAATTAAAAGAGGTACACATTTTGTAGTAATAAATATAAATAGCTAAGAATATTCAACGAAAAAGTAAAGAAGATATACAAGGAAGGAGATAAAAATATTTAAGAATAAATATATTTTATTGAGAAAACACTTTTATTAAAAATATTATGCTTATATTTGCTTATAAGGTTTCATATATATTATTTAAGCGTCAATTTAAAGGATTTAAATATTTTTAAATAATTAAACACATAAATTTAAATATTATTTCTCATTAAAATAAGCAATAAGACCAGTTAAAATTAGTGAAAATTACTCTTTCTATCCTTTATTAATTTGACTCATGAAAATATTATGAAGATCTTTTATCGAATCAATAATAAACTATCTAAGTGTAAAGTGGTAAACATTGAACATTTTAAAAGATTTTGAACAAATGCTATTCGAATAGCTGAAATTAGTAAAAATAATATATATTTTATAAGATAGATCGTATATTAAATGAGTAATAAAAAAATTTTGTAGATTAATGAATATATTAGTTAGTAATAATGATGCAAAATTGACTAACTATTAATTACTCGTCCAATAACTTTGCTAGAATACTGAACAAACAAAATAACAAAGAGCATGTAAAGTTGCCTCTACTAGTGTAATGGATATAAATATAATCTTTTATTCTATGAACTAGTAGATTGTTTGTGTGGTTCTTTAATAAAAGATGTTATTAACCTTTTTGAGAGTAAAGAATAATAGCTATATGGAAAATAAATAGTTAGCCATGCAAGCTCTAGATAAGAAAAAAATTAGTTTTTAATTTCTTTTGCCTTCTTTTTTAAATCTGAAATACATAAAATAATATATATTTATTTTTTTAAAATAATTTAATTGTCAAAAAATTAAAAAAGAAGAGTTGTTAACTAAAAAGTTTCTTGAATATTTTGTCATAAATTTATACAAGAAAATTTTATATTGACAGTAATAAAATTTTTGTGTTTTATAGTAAATATATAATTTATTTCATATTTTGTTTATTATTTGTATTTGTTAATTTGAAAGCAATAGGTTTGAATTACTAAATATTAATTGTAATATTATAAGTTAAATATACGTAATTAAAAATCAATAATTAATGAGGTTTTATATTTTTAATAAAAATAGGGATTTTTATTAGAGCAAATAAATACTTCTTAAAAAAAATAAATGATCAATGAAATAGACAATACATATAAAACAGTTTCGTTATTTATAGCCTTAAAATTATACATAAACTCATAAAATTATTATAGGAAACTCTACATGCTTTTTATTAATCTGTTTATTCAATACTCTAGGAAAGTTATTGAAAAGAAAATTAATAAATCAAGCTTATAGGTGCCATTTTTAATCTTTTATTTTTAATTTTAGTAACCCTATTTAGCAAAAACTCTTAAGATTGATGGATTATTACTACTGTAATGTTTCAATTAATAATTTTCACAATCTGATAACTTGTATAAAGTATTATTACCAACATTGATATCTTTATTTGATACTAATGATTTCTCCTTCAATTAATTCAAATCTTTATATATTTATTTCCATCTATTATTTAAATAAATTATTCTCATTTCTAAAGTATTTTTAGGTAGTAATCTTGAAAAAACAGGAGATATACAATTCATTCCAAACATAACAAAATATGGTGTTTCTCCTATAGTTTCATGATGTGTATTATTATATATCATTGCTGTATTTCTCACCATTTTTTCAACTATATATCTTTTTCTTCTAATGTAGTCTTAAATATTGGTTAATAAAAGGCTTCATTAAACTTTTTTGTTATAAAAAGGACTAGCTATGTAAAGAATACGTAGTTGGTTGTGCTAACTAAAAAAAAAAAAAAAAAATATTATTGGAATTTTTTTTTGAGGTATTTTTCTTTTAAAAAATGGAGATAAAAAGAAAAAAAAAAAAAGATATTTATTTTTTTTTTGATGATTTATTCAGAGAAGAAAAAAAAATTGGTAAAATAAAAATAGAGAGTAAGATTTAATACCAATAAAAATGATATTTTAAAAAGATAATAATGTTTTCATAAAAGAGTTTAATTTGCATAATATTTATATTTTAATATGTGAGAGAAAATTTTATACATATGACAATAAAATTTTCGCGTAATTAATATTCGCATAATTTATTTGCATTTTTACTAATTGTTTATGTTTGTTAATTGAACAGCAATACATATTATTGCTGAATGTAACTCATAACATATAAACAAGTAATTTATAATTAATTAATAATCAATGTTCAATAAGGATTTAAATTTTTAATAAAAAGAAGGATTTTTATTAAAGTAAATAAATGCCTATTGAAATTAAAGAATGCTGAACGAAGTAGAACACATAATTAAGAATTACTCGTTCAAACCATTTAAAAATATATATAAATACAACAAAATCATAAAGGCATCTCTACATGCTTTTTATTAATTTGTTTGTTCAGTACTCTAGTAAAGTCACCGAACACCCAATTAATAAATCAATTGGCGACAACGGGAGGAAGTCCAAAACAGAACAAACAAAACCCATATTGGATTAGCACTTAAAGATGAAGGAAGATATAAAAAGACTCGGATTAGAGATATTTGAAGATATAGTAAAATTTGAAGAAACATATACATTCCACATAAAGAAGAGACAAGAAGACTCGAAAGTAACGATGCCAGATAAATTACCAGAGTTGGATGAAACGTCAATAGAAGATTATTTCCATTGGTTCAGAATTTTTGAAAGTAAAGTAAGGTTGAATAGGTTAACTAAGATAGAAACATGTATAGTGCTAGAATCATTATTTTCACTAGTTAGTTCAATGTAAATAACTCATTTATCGGGAGACGATAATATAAAAAACATGTTACAACTAAAGATTAGATTAGCCAAACAGCTGTTTAATAATAAATATGAGAGGATTGAGCAAATAAAAAAATTATGGAACGCTAAACGGGAGTTAAATATAAAAGACGCTATGAGTTCATTCATTATGCATTGTACAGTATATGCTAATAGTTGTTTAGCTTTTAAAGAATCTAACTTTATTCATTTGAATGATTTATGGATATGCTTTTTATTACGTATACCAGAAAAACATATGAAGAAAGTTAATAACGACATACCAAAGAATATGACATTTATACAGGCCATGTTTTTTTTATTGAGATTTGAAAATGGTAAAATAATAAAGAAAACTCCACAACTAATTCAAATAGGTGCGGTAAGTTATGAATAAAATAATAGGATAAGAGCAATGAAAGGCGGAACATTTAACAGATGTTACTGTTTAATCGAAAAAGCCCATCTTAAAAAGGATTGTATACATAGAAAAAAAAATTTAGTAATTGTAATATGATAGGACATTTGGTATCAGTATGCAGAAATAAAGTGATTCGAGATAAAGAAGATGAAATTAAAGGTATAATAACAGATAAAAGATATGATTTAAGTTTTAAAATAATCAAAAATGAAACTAATCCACAGAAAATCCGACAAATGCAAAAATACCTTAATAAACAATTGGAACATCTGGAATGACAAAAAGAAAAGGCATAAGAAAGGTATAAAGAAAATAAACCTAAAGAAAGTGATGAAGAGAAGGATAGAAAGAGGAATAGAATTAATAAGATATTTGAGAGTAAAGAAATGGATATCAACAAGGAATCCTATGAAGATGGAACAGACTCAGCAGAATTTGGATCATCTGTTAATAGGACTATCGAACTTGAGGGAGAACAAGGACGATG